TATTTTCATTTCTATTATAATTTCACTGATGTTTTATGTTCCATTGTATATAAATGTAAATCTTTCCTTGCCCAAAATAAATGCATAAATAAAAAATGCATAAATAAATGAAACATTCAAAATTAAATCAACACAAGAAACTGAGGACGAGGTTAAAGATTAAATCAAAATTCTTCTGTGATATTGATTGTTTTTAGATTGAAGAGAATTCGTAATGTCCATCCATCCATTTTCATCCGTTTATCCGGGGTCGGGTCTCGGGGCAGCAGCCTGAGCAGAGACTCCCAGACTTCCTTCACCCCAGACACTTCCTCCAGCTCCTCCAGTGGGACCTGAGGTGTTCCCAGTCCAGTCCAGAGACATGGTCCCTCCAGTGTGTCCTGGGTCTCCTCCTCCGGTGGGACACATGAACACCTCCCGAGGAGGCGCCCAGGAGGCATCAGAACAGATGCCCGAGCCTCAACTGGCTCCTCTCCACGTGGAGGAGCAGCGGCTCTACTCCGAGCTCCTCCCGTGTGACTGAGCTCCTCACTCTGTCTCTAAGGGAGACGCCCAGACGCCCTGCGGAGGAAACTCATTTCGACGCTTGTATCCGCGATCTCGTCCTTTCGGTCACTACCCAGACTCATGACCAGAGGTCGTAATGTCAAAATTTTTAAATCTGAGTCTGAAATTTTAGAATTTAGATTTGTAAATATGAAATGTTCCCAACAGAACAAACAGGTTCATGAAATATTCAATTTGATTTTGTTCAGGATGAAGAGTTTTTCTGTTTTGATTTGTTTGTTTTTTTTTTAGTAAAAGTGTTTTTAGATCAGAGTTTATTTGAGGTTTTCTGCTTCACGTTGGCCAAAGGTGAAAAATGTTTCAGTTTCCTTTAGACAGAAGTAAATAATTTAGGTAAATTTAGTGAATTATTTTCCAGTTGGTTTTTTGATCTTGTTCTTCATTAAACAGATTTACTCCAGTTTGTGTTTGTGAAGAAGATTCATGTTTTTTTTTTTTTAATATTCACATTTTTATTTTGTGTCGATGAGTCAAAATGTGAATCAGCCTCAAAACAGCAGAAAATTAAACCAAATCTTTGTGTTTTGTGTGATTGTTTTTTTAATCAAATTATTCAAAATTCCACAAAACTGGTGAAGAGAAACGACCTGAGGCTGAGGACAAATCTGAATGAATTTGATTTGGATTCAGATTTTATAAAATAACAAACTTTGACCTGTAAAAGAATCTGTAAAATCTACAAAACTAAAACACAAATGGAACTTTCTGAAACACAAACGACTGATGCAGTTGTGTGTAGTGTGTGTTGTGTGTAGTTGTTGTGTGTAGTTGTGTGTAGTTGTGTGTAGTTGTGTGTAGTGTGTGTGTGTGTAGTTGTGTATAGTTGTGTGTAGTTGTGTGTAGTTGTGTGTATAGTTGTGTGTGTAAATGTGTGTAGTTGTGTGTGTAAAATGTGTGTAGTTGTGTATAGTTGTGTGTAGTTGTGTGTATAGTTGTGTGTAGTTGTGTGTATAGTTGTGTGTAGTTGTGTGTATAGTTGTGTGTAGTTGTGTGTAGTTGTGCGTTTGTTGGAGGCGACTTCTTGGAGATATAAACTTGTGCTTTGCTCCGTTTTGGCAAATCAGAGAAACAGGAGGGGGGTCGGGGGTCAGGGGTCGGGGTCAGGGTCAGGGGGTCAGGGTCAGGGGTCAGGGGTCAGGGGGGTCAGGGGTCGGGGGTCAGGGGGGTCAGGGGGTGCGGGAGGGCATCTGGCTCTTCTGTTTGGCACATGTGTATATTTATATTTATATTTATATTTAAATATATTTGTTGTTTTCAGGCTGGTCCCAGTTTGGAGATGAGCTCGTCGCAGATCTTTGTCAGCTCCTCGATCTCCTGATTCTGAAAAACACAAAAAAACACAAAAAACTACAAAAAATCTACAGAAACACATCGACCTTTGACCTGACACCAGACCGCATCACTTCCTGTGTGCAAACGTGACGCGACGCCGCCCCCGAGTGTTCACGGGCAGAACTGCGGTTTACACTCAGATCGAACGGGGAGGATTTAGTCCCAGAGGTTCAGGGTCTATTCCCCACAGT